AGCAATAATTTCAATGTCTAAACATGCTTGCTTGACACCAAAATAGACATTCGTTTGTGGTCCTTAATAATGATTCCTTTTTCTCGTCATCCTCTTCATACAAAGGATAAGAGTATACGTAATCTCAGTTTCGGGTTATTATGGACCATATTCTCAAATATAACCATTCACGTTTCTTGATAAATTCTATATAATCTATACTCACTTTTTGTTCTCTTTTTATCACATTTATGTTCTTTTATTTCAATGTTTTTTCTTGCAAACAAGAGACGTAATTACATATTTAGATTAACGATTAGAATATAAAAATTCAGTTGGAATACATGACTTTACATTTATGTAATCACTGGCATTGTATTTTGTGAAAATTTTGGTATAGAAATTGATACACTTTTCTCAAGAGGATTTTATCTGAGGACACACTTCTACTGATCAATGTTCCACATATATGTCTATTGCATATGTTAACATGATAAAGATATTCGCATTTACTAATTAACAGGTGAGAACTTTTAACTCTAATGAAATCTATTTTCTGTCAGTATGAAATTATATTCCGATAAATCAGGGAAAGATGGAAGATAATTATTCCTTTAAAGTTCGCGTCCACTGAGTAGAAATATAAAGTCTGTTTGTTTTGGATTAAAATTCAATTAGAATCTCATTTCAAAGTCAACATTAAATTTTAACCATATATTTCATGGGATCCACAACTTTTCAACCAAATATTTCTAAAGCTTCTATAAAAAATCTAATTTTAATCTCCATCAAACACTCTCATAGACTCATTTTCTCTCCATTTTCTTTTGCTTTGTTTCATTATTTTGTTCTGTTTAGGATAGATTCATCTCTATAGATGCTATTGTTGCTATTTTTGCAGTGGAAAAGAGAATGAGTTTGGGCAGGAAGGTGATTACATGCTATCCAATCCATATCACTTGGTAATTGCTTTTACTTTGTGATTATTTTTGCCTTTTACAAGTGTATGATGATATCATGATTACTTGTGCACAATATTTGGTGATAACATCTGCTTTCTTTAATGCAAACACATCTGGTACTTAAGGATGTCCATGTAAATTTCGACGCTTAATCATCTCTGTTTTCTTTTCCTTCATTCAAGTCATCAAGTGGCACCGTGTTACACTAGGATTTTCTATCTACCAGCATATGCCCTAAATCCATTCATGATCGTCGATCTATTATTCATTGCTGTACTAGTTTGGGAACTGATGGATCAGTGAGGCAATTCCACTTTTTTAAGTGGCCTTTATTTGGGATTAAGTTTCATGCTAATTGAATATGGTAAGTGTATTTCAACCTGAATACCCTGCCAAAATGTTTGGCAAGTTTTATGACAAATTGTGATATTGATGTTTGATAGAAAACTTGAGCATTTGATGATCTCCCCGGAGTCGTAAATTATTCCAACCATAACTAAGAGCATCTGCAAGAGAATCTTTAAACATGAGATGCTTTTTATTTTAAACAGTCAATATTTGAAATCATGCTTCAAGAGACTTTTTAAATTAACATATTAATTTAGAGAATGGGTTTAGCTCTCCAAACTCACTCTCTATAATTAAATGTATTCAAAGTGTTTCAATTTTCAATGTAGGAAAGTAATAAAATAATCTAGAGTAAAGTTAATTAAAATAAAAGATAGAGAAAAATAATAAATAGATTTTGGGAATAGTAAAATTAAGTGTTAAATATAAAAGCTTGTTAGAGTACATCAAAACTTTAACTTTCTAAATTTATATATGCTCTTCAAATGGTAGAATATGTTCTTTAAAAATAGAGTCTCTTGGAGATACTCTAATGAGCTAATTTCTATTTTGTTTTGTAATGTTTATGGCATTTTGAAAACTGCCTCCATCCCGTATTTATTACTACACTCGGCATGCTTAAATAATCCTTGAATTTACTTCATTTCAAAGGTGAAGCTGTTTTTATCTTACCAATTAATGTTGTGTTCCCTGAAAAGACAAATTTGAAATCAAAGCGGTCATCATTCCCACAATTATTGAAATATTGTTCTAAGATAAGGGCAAAGAGGTAAATATACAATTCAAATGTCAAAATCAAGAATTTTGGGGAAGAGGGATGACTATGTCATTTTAATTATTTTAGTATCACAGTTTTTGTATCTGTTTTTGATATATATAATGAATAATCAAGTCATTAAAAATTTTAAGTTAATTCATATATACTTGAAAAACAACACAAAGACTTGTAGAAACAAATGCACGTGCTCTGGCTCTAGTCTCATCGTTTTAAGTAGTTGTTTCCATTAATTGTCTGGAGTGTAGATATAAATATTACAGAGACGAAAGTTGATATGATTTTCTTATCTCTGTCCAAAATTAATTATTACAAGGCTTCCTTGGAAAAGAAGTTTTTACTTTAGGGATTATAATTCTGGGTTGTGCTTGGTGTACATAAAAAATGTACATAGGGTTGTCCACACCCCTCACATGAGGTGGGACTTGCATGAGGTGGGCCCACCCCATGTGAGGGCTGTGGACACCCCTATGTACATTTTTTATATACACCAAGACTTATTTTATAATTCTAGTTCTGAGTATTTCTGATTTTACATGCGTTGGACCAAGTTCATGCTAGGTTAAATTTGTCTCTTAGTGGGACATTTAAGACACTCGTAAACAAGTGAGTTACTAAAGGATTCGGAGTTCAATCTGATGTGTCTAAAATATTTCATTTTTGTGCAGCTTGGAGTTTTCTCTTCACAGGTTTTTCAGGAGTCTCCTCGAGAGAAGATATGGAAGAGGAAACACTGTAATTTTGTGTACATAATAAGTTGAAATTTTTTAGACTCCCATTTGAAGTTGCTAATAATTATTCCATTGCAGCTCCCATATATGAAATGGAGAAACATTGCAATATTGAAATTGCTGCACAGATCTCTCGTGTCTCCTCCATGCACCATGGTACTTGAGCTTTATAAAGCATGTGAAATGCTCCATTTTTCAGCTGTTTCTATTCTCAATCAAAGGAGTTAGCCTGTCTTAAAAATCATCTTTTTCTCGCTTCTTACTCGTTTGTCCTACATCACGTTAAAAGACTTCCTTATCAGGAATATAGCCTGCCTTTAAAATAACTTTGCTCATTTAGATGAATATTTCTCGTAGAAGCTGGTACAAATATGCTTGACAATTCAGAAGTTTTGTGAGTTCTTGGTTCTACATGTCTAATTGTTCCTACTACTCTTACTCCTGTGGAAGTGTTTTTACTCAAAGAAATACAAGAGAGAGAGAGAGAGAGAGAG